AAGCCTGAAGTTGCAGGCAGTAACATTTAAAGCTACTGCTATGGAAGAAAAAATGCTGTGAGTAATGAAGGTGACAGCAGATTGAGCTGAGAGGGGAACCAAGCACTTGTAAGGGGGTGGAGTGGTGGGGAGGGTTAAAAGCAGCTCTGGATGTGAAAAACATCTGATTTAAGAGTCAGAAATCCTAAAATTAGGGAAATAGTGGATAACTCAAAAATAAACTTCGCACATATGTAACATGTAGCTTTTAAAAGTGTACAACATTCTGAACATTCCCAAATAAACCATGCCATATTGGAGATCAGATCATTTAAGGGGAAATTTTATTCATAATTTAAGTCTTTGAAACCACATGCCTCACCCTCACACTTGGGTGAAAAGTGAAAATGGCCCAAAACTGCCTGGATTTTCCAGTGCAATAGAACCCAACTGTTACTCTCCTGCTAGGATGTCACATTTTACAATATGCTACGACAGACCGGCTTGGAAGAGGCGCAGGCAGAAACACGGCCAAGTATATACAACCATAGGAGCGGAAACTATGTACATCAGCAGGGCCACCTTAGGTCTTCAAAACACTTCAATCACCAAATTGATGTCCTGTCTACCAGAAAATAAGTTTTGGGAGGCCTAGCGTGTGATGTGCTGTTTGGGTGGAGAGTGAGCAGCACCCATGAAGGCGAAGGGATGCCTCATCTCCTGGTCTGTGGGCAGCCAGTAACCCTGCCTGCAGGCCACAGGGTCAAACAACACTCAGGAGAAGGAGACCTGCAGACCAAGGGCCTGGCTCCCATGTTAGGAAATCGAGGCACAGAAAGGGTAAGTCATCTGGCTAGAAGTGGAACTTCATCAAATTTTCAGTGGTCTTTTTAAGATATAATGATGCCTCTGGTCAGGCCAAACCCCTGCGACTTCACGAAATGGTTCTCAACCTCAACTAACAATTAGAATCACCTGGGGAGCTTTCCAGGCGATTCCCAGCCCCAGAGATTGGAATGGGTTTGGAGTGGCCTGGAAATGGGAATTTTTCAAAGCTCCCTAGAAATTCTGACACACAGCTAAGGCTGGAAGCACTGCTCAAAGGTCTCTACTCAAATTAAAGAATGTAAGGATGCCATTTGTACTCCTTTTATGCTGACCTGAATATTTTGTTATTAAAAGAAAGTCATGGTAGTACTGTATCTATTACGAATCTTACGTTTTGTTTTGTTTTGTTTTGTTTTGTTTTTTAAGTAAGTTTACTCAAGGGAAAAGAGTAAATTTTTCTATAATTTTCTGACTTAGCCTTTGGGCAAAGCCCTATGAATCATATATACATTCATATTTTGTACAAGTGAAAAAACAGTATTCGTTTCTATGACTATATGGAACTATATTCACTGCTTGGAAACGAACAGAATATTATCTGAGAACTCTTAAATTCCTGGTCAGCTTGATGACAACTGAATAAACTTTTATTCTAGAGAATCAACTAACCATTTTCAGCCATTCAAAGCACACGTAATTACTGGTTCAATGCATTGCTTTGCTTTTCTAAAGAGAATAGAGAAACAGACTCAAAAAGAGTACTATAATGAAATATGTTTGTCAAATATTTGTATAGACAGAAAACAATCATATTTTAATGGAATTTTTCATTCATTTGTAACAGTGTGAATCTCTCTAATACATTGAATTAACAGATTCATTGCACAGTATTTACAATATTGATACTGGGCCAGCCGATGAAAACAAATCTCACATATCAGGCCAAGCTATTTTGTGACAAGACAGCTTTCGATGTAAATTTTCAAAAGAATTGTAGTTCAGGTTCATCCTTTTCTTTCCTTAAAGACTAAGCTTACAGAATCATGTGAATATATGTAAAGAAGTTTGATCCAGTCATTTTTCCTCATATCATCACTCTCCAGATCCAACAAACTGGCTAAGGAGGGGATGGCCAGACCCCAGGGACTTTGGTCAGCATTGCAGTTAATGATCTGTCTACTCAAGGGGAGATACCACCAACCTAGAGTAGACTCACATTAACGTTACATCATCCAAAGGTGACACCCCAGCCTTAACAATAAGGCTGCCATGTTGAAACCTCAGAAGCAACATTTTCCCACCTAGAAGGCTGGTTTCAGCTAAATGAGAAACAGTCCACTTGCTTTTCAGGCTTACCAAGGACATGCCGTGACTTTAGCTCTCAGGTTGCCCACTGCATAGAGCTATTTGCTTTCTGAGACTGGGATTCCCTTAGCCCAGCTGGTTTTGGGGTTTTCGCCAATTGCTGTACATCTTACAGGACCCTAGAATTGAACACTAGTGCACAATCCTCCCTCACCCACATTCAGAAGCTCCAGATTCTCCTAATGGAGAAGAGAAATTCTTTCCAACGGCGGCTCTGCCCCATTCTCCATCTCCAATATCACCATCCTAGTCCCACTCTCTTCCAGTCCCCGCCAGATGATGGCAGCAGCCTCCTCCCAGGTCTCCTTGCTTCCTCTCTAGCCCACCCAGTTTCCCTCCTGAAAGCCATTGTCCACCAGGCTGTGTGGTTAGAATCACACCTGAATCCTTACCATGGCCCCAACGCCCTCCATGGGATGTCTTCTGGCTGCTTATCCAACCTCAGTCAACATCAGACTCTGCCGCTCATGCAACCCTTTGGGTCCTTTAAATATGCAGAGTTCACCCTGCACTGGAGCTTCTGCATCTGCTAGTCCCTTTGTTGGGATGCCAGCCACACACACATCTCCCCAGGGAGCTTCTGTCAGCCTGGTCCAGGCTGTGCAGAGGCCTCCCAGGGCCACACCATCTAAAGTGGCTCCATGCTGACTCCTCTGTGTAAATCCTTGTTATCTGCACTGTGCCCAGGGCCATTCTCTGCCATTCTGTGGGACCTGAAAGGATGACCCAACCTATGGACTCCACTGCTGGGGTTCCCTGGCCTCCTGGCTGCCCTCTGAGTTCTGCCAATGAGCTGAGAAGCCTGGGAATTTCCTCTTTGCCTATACCTGGCCTTAGCATCTCAACTCCACACCTTCAAGTCTGCAGCTCTTGCCAGGCAGCTCCTCCCCTTGGGTTCTGGTCACGCACATGACTTCCTCTCCCAGCTCCATCTTCCAGCTGTTGCTCACGGCTGCAGGCCTGGACATCCCTTGCTGGTTCCCTCAGGCCTGCCCCAATTCAGCTGCTCTTCCACAAAACCTCCTGAACTCCCATAGCGTTAGGTCCTGACCACTCTGACCAAGCGCCCTCCCTTTGCCCTCTATCCACCTGTTTCAGTCTCTTCAGTGCGTTTATCACTATCCGAAAGGATCTTGTTCACTTGCTCTTTTCCTATTGTCTATCTTCTCAACCACTGGATCCTAAGCTCCATGAAAGCTGGGAGCTTAAAGTGTTCCACAGTCTATCCTCTCGGCCTAAAACAGTACCTGGAACACAGTAAGCACTCGATCAACAGCAAAGCACCAATAAACCAATGGTAGCCCATTGTCTCTGCTCAAAATATCGCCATATCAGTAAGACCTTTCCGGATCATCTTATGGAAAACAGCAATCTCCCTGTCCTCTCCCAGATCTCCCCTCCCTCCTCCTGCCCAAGTCTTACTTTTTCCAGTAGCATCATGACTTTCTGATATATTTGATAGTTCTTTGTTTCCCTTCTAAAAATATGTCAGCCCTGGACGTAGAAATGCTATTTTATTGTATCTTATTTACTGGTGTAACCTCAGAGCCTAGGACAGTACCTGTCCCATAGCAAAGTCTCAATAAATATTTGTCAAAATGGATAGCTAGCGAAGTGGGCAAACTTTCATATAACACAATTTCAGGACTGTCTTCAACACTGCAACTAAGTGCGGTCTTATGTGACTTGACCTTGATCTAGCAGTAAGCCTAGGGCTCCTAAGGAAAAGGCTTGAAATGTTGGCTAGCACTTAGCCTACATGGAGAGGAAAAGGTTTTAGAGGAAGATCAATCGGTAGGACCCTGAGTTCCTGACAATTGTTGCTCTAGAAAGCAAGCCTGGAAACTTACCTAAGCACACGGCCACTGTAATTCCTTTCAGAAAGTAAGTGGACATACAAATAAATGACACTTACGCACACCACAATGGTAGTGTATTGGCAGCAGCCTTCAACTACAGTTCATTGACAGCATTTGTGGACTCACAGCCAAGCGCTGAAAGCATTGCTTTTTCTGACAGCTGCTCTCCTAATGGGGCAGCTCTCAAAGACCGGTCTCATTCTGTGACACCCACGTTGTCCAAATTGTATTCTGCACAATAACTGCAGACTTGAAAGAAATTCCTCCTCCCCATCACCATTATTGATTACTCATACCGGCCCCTCACCCTCCAAAGTGTCTAAATTGTGTGGATTTTGCAGGAAGGGTCGGGGAGAGTAGGGGGTAAGGAGTCGACTCCCAAGGTACTGGGTGTCCCCGATGGCGGCATGTCACACCTTCACATAAGGGAGCAAGGTTCTTGACTCAATAGCTAAAGGTCTGAAATATGGTCCCCTTCACCATTCCACCAAAACTGGCCAGCCGCTGGATAATGAGCAACCACCGATCCTCACCCAAACATTGGCTTTTCTTCCAATAGTGCAGATTGGGAATGCAGGGACGTTGTCCCATTTACGAACGGTGAGTCACGTCGCCGCTCAACGTCTGTTTCCTCCTCCCTAGAAATGAGGTGACCCCCTCCTCCGGCGCGTAAAAGCGGGGCGAGGGCGAGGGCGAGAGCGCGGGCGGGGGAGCGGGGGCAGCGGTGCTGCCCCGCCTTGGGGAGCACATTCGCCCCCCTAGTCGCACCAGCCTGAGCGCACACCGGGCCGGGTGAGCCTGTGGGACCCCGCGGTGAGCTGCGCGCTCCCCTGGGGTGCTCGGGGACCGGGACCTTCGGGGTGCCGCCCCCGCGCCCCGGCCCGGACCTGGGCATTGCGACCCGCGCCGTCTCCCCAGGCAACAAGTGTCCGCCCTCCGCCCCGACTGCCCGCCCGGCGCTGCCCTCACCCGGCACAGGCCGTCCACGAACACGCGCGGGTCCAGGTGGCAGGCGATGGTGGCGCTGGGCAGGTCCTGCAGGTCCACCTCCTCCATCTCGCAGTCAATGAAGCTCCAGTCGCCGCCGCCCTCGTCCGCCTCGGCAGTCCCTGAGAGGGGCGCGAAGGGCCGCAGCGTCACCTCGGGCCGCGCTCGCGCCTCGGCCGCCTCCGCCGCCGCCCCGTGTCGGGGCCCGGCCAAGCCGTCCTCCATCCCCGCTCCCGCGCGCCCCTGTGCACTCCCGAGGGCTGCGCCGGGCTCGCGCTCCGGAGCCTCACGCGCTCCCGTCCGCGCCCGACCGCGGTTAACCCCCTCCGGGTCGCGCGGCGGCCTGCGGCCGGTGGCCAGCGGCGGGCGGTCACCAAGGCTCCCGGCCAGGCGGCCTCCCGGCGCCGTCCCCGCCCGCCACCGTTCCGCGCGGGAGGGGCAGAAACTCGGCGCGGCGCCCGCCTGCCGAGCCCCGAGGGCCGACCACCGGCAGATCCGGCGGGGGCCCCTTTAAGGCCGGCGCCGGGTGGGTTTTTGTACCCCGCCCTACCAGGAGAGAAGGCCAATAAAGAAACGGAATTCTCTTCACGTGACGGTTTTTCCGCCGTCCGAAACCCGAAGCCTCAGGGCGGCCATGTTGGTTAAGGGCAAAGTGCCCGTCGTTAGTTCCGCTTTTCTGCCAGCTGCTGTCAGCTGAAGGGCGCCGGGTAGTCCTGGGCTCTTGGGCTCCTGGGCTCTTGGGATGATAAATGGGGAGGCAACGTTTTTGTGGTTCCCATGCGGTGACGTTTTGAACCTCAGGGGCCCACTTTTGGGAATTTAAGCGAGACCTAGTCCTGGCTGTGGCTCTGTGGCCCCAGGCAGGGGTTAGATGCTTACCGTATATTATCAGCTATAGTCGCAATAAAGACTGAACTATACCATGATAACAATGCCTTACTTTTCTGTTTCAGCGTATTAGTCACTATATCATTGTCCACAATTTATATGATTAAAATGAATTTTTCTGAATTACCACTATGTATCTTGTACAATAGGATATAACAAAAGAATGAAGAGATCACCCCTTTCCTTTGGGGAATAGCGGGAAAATAGAGGACCTCAAATGAGCAGATATATCTCCCTTCCTGGAAAAAAAAAAAAAAAGCTTTTTTTGGACAGTACGATACAGTGAGAACTTGGGTCTAAATTTCAACTTTGCTATTAACTACCTGGACAAATAACCTGAATCTCAGTTTCCTCATCTTAAATAAATGAGGACATATTACTAGGAATCCAGTAAACGCTTGATAAATGGTAGCTTTGTGTATGTGCTGGGTTCTATGGAGGTTGTGAAATTAGAGTTGTATTTTTTTCTTAAGGTAGGTAGGCTTACTCTCTAGTTAGGAACTGTTAGTAATTATACCAAAAAGTATATCCTACAAAAAGCATATAACAGCTGAGATTTATTCAGAACTTGAAATGAGCAGGGTTCTATGATTACTATTATGATAGTCTTAGGGCAGTTTGTGTCCTCAAGGAGCTAAACCCCAGAGAAGTAATAATACCCATGCAGAGATAACTCATAAAATGGAATATGATGTGAGGACATGAAGAAATTGGAACCATCATATTGTGAAAGGAAAATCTTGGGCCCCCAAAATCACTAAGGAAAACTAAAGCTGGAAATGGCTTAGGGGCAACCTGCCTCCCATTCTATTCAAAGTCACCCCTCTGCTCACCAAGACAGATGCAGATCTGATTTGCCACCTTTGAAAAGGCTAATCAGAAATTCAAAAGAATGTAACCCTTTGTGTATCACCTATCTGTGACCTGGAAGCTCCCTCTGCCTCCTGCCTTCTATTCAAGTTGTCCGACCTCTCCAGACCAAGCCAATGTACCTCTTACATATACTGATTGATGTCTCATGTCTCCCTAACATGTATACAACCAAGCTGTGCCTTGGCCACCTTGGGCACATGCCCTCAGGACTTCCTGAGGCTGTGTCATGGGTGTGTCCTCAACCTCAGCAAAATAAGCTTTCTAAATTAATTGAAACCTGTCTCGAATTTTCAGGGTTCACAGTACTTTGCTGATGGGCATGTAAAATGGGGCAGCCACTGTGGAAAACGATTTGGTGATTCCTCAAAAAGTTCTTTGTAGAGTGACCATATGACCCAGCCATTCCTCTCCTAGGTACACACTTAAAAGAAATGAAAACGTATGCCCAGACAATAATCTGTACACAAAAGTTCATAGCATCATTATTCAAAACAGCCAAAAAGTGGAAGCAGCCTGAATGTTCACCAACCGAAGAATAGATAAACCAGGAGTATATCCATACAATGGAATATTTTCCAACCGTAAAAAGAAATTAAGTGTTGATAATATGCCACAATATGGAGGAACCTTGAAAACAACATTATGCCAAGTGGAAGAAGGCAGTTACAAAAGGCCACATATTATTCCATTTACATGAAATGTTCAGAATCGGCAAATCCACAGATGGAAGGTAGTTTAGTGGGTGCCAGAGCTTGTGAAAGGGGAAAATGGGCAGTGACTGCTGAAGGATAGGTGGTTTCTTTCTGGGGTGAATAAAATGTTCTACAATTAATTGTGATGTTTGCACAACTTTCTGAATACACTAAAAATTTCGGAATTGTACCTTCAAGGGTGAATTTCATGGTATGTGAATTGTATTTCAGTAAGGCTGGTATTTTTAAAAGGCCACACGACGTTGGATGAAACTCAGCAGAATGGATGATATTGCAGCGTCAAAAACTCTCTGTAAACTTGGCCAGGCACTGTGAAAAGGGTAACAAAAGGATGAGGCACCGGTTTTGGAAAAACAACTCTCTGCCAGCCTGTTGCTGGGTGGGGCTGTGTTTTCATCCTTAGGACAGTACACTCTTTCATTGCTGGCTTCATAAGCCGCTTACAGCATGCAAAGTGGGCCTATTGGACAAAGTATTCAAGGGGAAGGAAAGCACCAACAAAACAGAAAGCCAAATGCACACAAAGCAAAACCCTCGCAGCTGGCTCTCTGATGTGTTAAGACAGGAGCGAGCAGCAACAATCTCCGGCGAGTGGTGAGAACGAAGTTACCTGTAACTGATTCCAGAATGCAGCAGGCCATTCTGGTCATTGCTCAGACACAACCCACGCCAGATATTCCTCCCTGTATCTGTGGATCCCTACCTCTCTCCTCTCCTTCCCCATCTGCACTCCCCACAAGAAGCTAAGTGAAGAGGGTGACATTTCTTAGTTCTCCAACCGGATCAATTACTTGTCTGTGTAACCCTGACAATAATAATATTAGTCTCTTCTGTGTAGATCTTAAATTGTCAATGGGTATACACATAAACTAGCTCACATCAGGTTAGCACACTGGTGTTGTTACCGCAGATTCTTAGAACCGAGGCTCAAAGAGATGGATGACCTTTGCACAGGAAAAGCAGCAAGCCAGGTACGGTGGCTCATGCCTGTAATCCCAGCACTTTGGGAGGCCAAGGCAGGTGGATCACCTGAGGTCAGGAGTTTGAGACCAGCCTGGCCAACAGGCAAAAACCCCGTCTCTACTAAAATTACAAAAATTAGCTGGGTGTGGTGGCGCATACCTACAATACCAGCTACTCGGGAACCTAAGGTGGGAGAATCCCTTGAACCCAGGGGGTAGAGTTTGCAGTGAGCTGAGATAGCATCGCTGCACTCCAGCCTGGACGACAGAGCGAGACTCCATCTAAAAAATAATAAAATAAAAATAACGATCAATAGCCTCTCCTGAGGAAGAGAAAAAAATCGAATCTGTGAGCTGTCAACAGCACAGGCAGAAACTAAATAAAACATGCTCTTTCAACATCATTTCAGACATCTCCAAGGGCGAAATCAACTAAACCTGGGGGAAATTTCTCAAGAGGCTGTGCTACCATAAAACGTGTACAAATTCCTCACTAGTTCTTTGGGAATTGTTAGCTGGGTCTCTTTTACCAGCTGTGACAACAAGACCTAAGATCCGTCTCTGCTTCCCCCTTCAGCCTCTAAGTAGAGAGCCTTCCTTTTTCATTGGCTCAAAGGAGCTGATTTGATCCAGCTCTTCAGATACTCAGAATGGGAAGGAACCAAAATAGGTAAAGAAATGATCTCAGTGATTCTTTCTTTTTTTCAAATGGAGGAGGGACACACATTTTTATTAATATATCCTATCACCTTCCAATCATTTCCTCTCCTTGCATTTCCTTCATGTCAGCCATTGCAATTACTCAATATAAAAGGAGAAGAGCCGTGCAGAAAGCCGTGTTTGATTATTTTTGTTCTTAGCACCTGTCTCTTACATCAGTTGCAGCCCAGTTATGCAAACGTGCCTCTGTGTGGATAGATGAGCCTATTCATTTGCCAGGTGGGAAGGTTTCACTCTAGATACTTTTAGTTGCATCCTGTTTTGTTCTGGAAATTGAAGGACGCTGTATGCAGTAGTCACTTGCTAAGTGTTTATTAAATGAACCAAAGGCATTTCTGCACATTCTGAGAAATTATAGACATTTTAAAAATTCATTTAAGGTAGAAGGCAAATTGCTGACTTTCTGAGTGTTTGCTTTCACAGAGAATGAACAGTTCCGAAGACTGCTTCAATGAATAAAGCCCTTAAATAATTCATTCGGAAGGCTCTAGTTGGTTACCACCTATAAAATGAATAAGAATGTTATGCTATTTTATTGTTATTGTTTTGGTTTGTTTCATTTTAGCAGTAGGAACTTTTTCTCCCTACTCAAAGTTCATTCTTAAAACCCACTCTTAAAATTTTCTGTTATTTTTGATGCTATTTTGATGCTTTTTAATTTAGAAAGACAGTTATACATTTGATTTGAGGGAAAATATTAGAATTTGGAGACTTTGTCTAAGTATGGGAAGGGAGGTCACTGACTTTGACGTTTCTCTAAGTTCTCTTTCAAGCATGTTGACACTCGTGTGACTTTCATGTTGAATTGGGAGTCTTCTGGTTGCCAGTAATCACAACCCCTGAAGCCAGTTTAAACAGGAGACAATTTAAATTAAGAATGTAGGGCATCTCTGGGAGCCTAAGGTGAGAATACTGCCTCAGGAAGGGTCTAGAAGATGAACCTTGATGCTTTCTAGAAGCTGGGCTGTCTTTTTGGCTCCTGTTGGGGTCAATAGATGTGGGAGATAGACACATAAGCAAATGGGCCCCCACTTCTGAAAGTCAGCAGCCCCAGCACTTCCAGGGAGTGCTCATTGTTCAAAAGGTCTTCCTTTGTTTCACGCTAAAAGCGCTGCTCCTGCAGGAATATTGCACACTCTCCAGAAGCCGGATGGACATGACCCTCATTCCAGCTCTGACCTTTATGACCACTATGGCCTTGGGGAAGCCACTTGACGTCTCTGAGGTCCTGTGTAAAAAGGTGATATAAATAGCTTCCTTCCAGCGGTGTTGCAGAGGCCAGACACAATGCCCAGCGAATGCCTGCCACGGAGGAGGGGCTCAGAACAGAAGGACAGCAAATT